GGGATGCTCTGGCTACTGCCGCTGCCGACTCGCGCCGTTTGGCTTTCCGAGCTTCGGGATTGTCCTGAAGCAAAATAAAAAAATAAAAGGGGCGCCGGAGGAGGGCACCGCTGCTTCCAGCCAGCAGCTCCCCGCCTTGAACATCCCTCGTAGCGCCGACGTGGGCGTAAGTTTTGAGCGGTTGCTTTCGCCTTCGCTACTCGGAGGGAAACCTGACCAAATTGCCCGGTAGGTGAGGGATTAGCGTGCTCTTCGTGGTCTTTGAGTGGAGCGTGGGATCCTGCTGGGTCTGGCTTTGCATGCAGCTGTGCATAAAGTATGCAAACTTGGTGGACTTACATGTTAAGGTAAATTTACTTCAATCTAAAACATCTATTTTTTTTCTTTCTTTCTCCAGACCTGAAACTTGGTAAAAAAGTTAATGAAGGTAAAACAAAAGAAGTGTACGAGCTGCCAGATATCCCAGGATGTGTTCTCATGCAGTCAAAAGACCAAATAACAGCGGGAAATGCAGCCAGGAAGGACCGAATGGAAGGGAAGGCTGCCATTTCCAATACGACGACTAGCTGTGTGTTTCAGTTGCTTCAAGAAGCTGGTAAGTATTTTAGGGGTACAATACGTGCCTGTGTATTACAGACACTGTTACTAAACAGTATGGTTTCTACGTATTGGTTTATCCTGCCTTGAGGCTCTGATTTTATTTTTGTTTTTTGAGTATTTTCTATTAGTTTTTTGTTACACTTTTCCCTCTGGTACTATGGAGCTGGATGGACAACTTGTGTGTTTGGAACATGAGGCTATCTGAAGTAATCTTCTGATCGCAGATAACACTGCAGTAGTTTCTCCTGCTTGTTTGGACACACCCTCCTCATCCTCCCCTCTACTTTTGTCAGTTCTTCCCTAGCTCTACTCTCTCTTGCCGGTAATACCGAACTCGATGTATCTTGCCTTTCTCGCTACATCTGCATGCATAGAAGTCACTTCTAGCTGGTGGCACTAACAAGCAATGTGAACTAAGCTGTGTGAACTGAATGATAAAAGGATACTCTGAATCTGAAGGATACTGAATGATAAAAGGATACTCTTAATTTTATCTTTTTAAATGTTTAGGTTTCCCCTCCCCCTCAATTGAGTACACTACAGAAATGTATATGCTTTGTACTTATCGCTTATGAGGACTGTATCGCAAATGCATGTATTGATCTGTATTGAGTGTATTGGGAACTTAACGCTTAATTTAAAAACCTAAAAATTTGAGTTGCTTAAGTAAGTTTTGCACCACACTTCCAAAAATTGAGCCAATATCTTGCTTTGTGAAAACATTTGGAAGTGTCTTTGAGAAGTTTGCAAGTTGCAAAGAGGAATTTAAACTAGTGGGTATCTAACCCAAGTCTGCTAACAGCACTATAATACACGCACCAGTAAACTTGGTTGTAACTGTTTATAGCTGCATGCTTGGTGCACTTTGAAGCGTTTGTACAAAGACTGCTTCAGGTCCCAGCTGAGTACTAGTTACTCTACACTTCCTAACAGATAGTACCATTTTTAGTAATAGATCTTGGTCAAACAGTGAAGTCCTAGCATGTTTAATATATGGGGAAGAGAAAGATGGTTTCTACAGAGTTGTATCTACCTGTATTTCTGAGCAAGTAGTTCTTAAAATATGGGCCAGGCTGATATTTTGCAAATGGATCAGTGGGAAAAGAGGAAAGCGTGATCAAGTTGTTCATTATAATCCTCCGACACTGGCTTTCTGGGGAAGCCTGTTGTGCATGCAGTACAAAGAAGCCTCCAAGGTCTTTCTGATTATATTTGCAGTTGATTTAAAACTACCAGTTTTAATTTAGGAACAATTAATGAGATGTTTTGCCTAATTCTTAAACAGGCAATAACTAACAATCAAAATATTTAATATCCTACAGATACGAATTTTAAATGGGAAGAGACCATGCTGTAGACCTCTCAAAGATCCTTAAATGGCTTGTACTCAGTAACTTCAGGTGCTGTGGAAAAATATGCAGCATAAACTGCAGCTGCATTTTAAAGCAACAAAAGAACTTTCAGGGTTCTTCTCCAGTTGGGTTATTTGACTGGCATAAATTGCAGATAACACAAATGCCTTTTTGTAGAAGTAGTTTGTTTGCTTTGCGCAACTCTTCTGAACCTGCTTTTTTAAGGGTGATGATTTACAAAGTTCTGTTAAAGTTTTTCTCCCCTTTATAACAGAGCTAATGTCAGCCCTTCAAAAGCATTCACCGATGAAAGATGTAGTAGTAAATCATGCAGGGGGGGACTTAATGCCTGGATTTGGAAGTGACTTAATATGCAGTTCATGATTTATATTATCCTGCCCTTGAGGTCAATGCAGTAAAATCTGAAGAGTCAATGTTAATATTATGTTTTAAGGCTTTAATTCTGCCTTTATGGCCCTTGAACTGGAATGGAATAGAGCTACTTCTTAATTTGACTGAATGCAGCTCCTTTGTCATCTGTGGATGCTAGCTGGGCTTGGCAATTGTCTTACCCTGAGAGGAGAAAGGTGGGACTTTCCTCAACAGTGAAATTGAAAAAGGAGCCATTTTATGCTTACAGTGGCTATCTGCACATGTTGGCCATCCCTGTTTGATATGGGGCCATCTTAAAATTAAAGAAGGTTGACTTGTTGCAGCAGGTTTGTGTGTGCGTGTGCGCTTCTGTGTCTTAAAGTCTTTTGCCCAATAAATCACTGAGATCTAGTGACCTAAATAAATGTTAGTTTGTAATGAGAGGAAGGACTAAGTAAGTCTCTTTCCCATCCCATCCTCTGTTATTAAACAAAGTAGTAAAGACTACCATGCTTTTGTATTTTACTGCCTTTCCCTAACTCCTTTCAAAGCCTCCAGTAACTGTTCCTTGTATGATGGATCTTTACCACAGAGCATGGTTATGTACTTGGTTGCTGCTAACTTCTGTTTAAAAACAAACCATTGTGAGGGATAGGGCTTTTTAATTATTATTTTAAACAAAATTATTTGCAAGAATAGGATTTCTAACCAGAGCATAAGGTTTTGAGCTACAAGCGAGTGTTGTGTGATAAAATTGGCAAAACTAATGACTTGTGGAACATTAATTGCTTTTTGCAAGGCCAGAGTGGGCTTAAAATACCCTGAAGACATTCAGTGTGTCCCTTGAGTCCAGGGAAGAATGAGATTCAATTGTACTTAAAGATGTTTGTGACTCTTGTTTCAAATATGGAGCATGCCTAGTAATGGAACTAAGCTGCCATCTTTATATTTAGGAATAAAAACAGCTTTTGTCAGAAAACAGAGTGACACGGCATTCATAGCAGCTCACTGTGAAATGATCCCAATTGAATGGGTGTGCAGAAGAATTGCTACTGGCTCCTTCCTCAAAAGAAACCCTGGTGTCAAAGAAGGATATAAGTTTTACCCACCCAAAATTGAGATGTTTTACAAGGTAAGTTTCCTTTCTTGTGTTGTTAATCAAAGAGAGCTAGAACTCTGTATTATCGCCTTTAAGATGCTGACAAATAAAGCAAGTAGTGCTAGTGGCTGACCAATTCTCCTAGTATTGGTAGTTTTGCTATCCTGAAGTTTACTTGTGTTCTTATCAACGGCTGTTTTGTCTAAAGTGCATGCAATGGAATACTGGCTTACAGGGCCATTGAACAATAACAAGCCAAACTGTACATGCAAATAAAACATTTTTCTATTTTAAGGTATAAAGACTTTTTCAGGCATAAGCCTAATGCATCAGTTGAAGCATGTTACCTTCTGATGGCTATTCTCGTCTTACCGCAAGCTTAAATTACATAATCTATATGTTTTGGTTTTAACAGGATGATGCTAATAATGATCCACAGTGGTCTGAGGAGCAGCTAATTGAAGCAAAATTCTGTTTTGGTGGACTTACTATTGGCCAGACTGAAGTGGATATTATGGCTCATTCTACTCAAGCTATTTTTGAGATCCTGGAAAAAGCATGGCAGCCCCAAAACTGCACTCTGGTAGACCTGAAGGTATAAGAATCTGAATTCTTATGATCCTGGTTCTCATGGGAAATATATCACTGTATAGTTCCTAAAATAGGATTCTTATTGTCTCTTCAGATTGAATTTGGTGTTAATATTCTGACAAAAGAAATTGTTCTTGCTGATGTTATTGATAATGATTCATGGAGACTGTGGCCGTCAGGAGATAGAAGCCAGCAGAAGGACAAGCAGGTAGTGTTTTAATTTTTACCTTCTAAGTCAGTTGGGAAGAAGAATGAAAAAAGTAAACCCTACAGTTAAACAACTGCTCTCAGAGTGGTCTTTTTTAGATAGTCTTATCTTATTACAGAGTAGTTCTTGTATCTGTACCAATTGCTGTTCTCCTTCCTGTGGAATTTCTAGAAACTGCATCAATATCTTAGTTGGGGCATTCTTACCGATTACGGTAGCAAAATGAGTGCTTTGTGTACCCAAAACACACTAACTTTAGTTAGTGGGCTTTTTTTTCCTCTTTTCAGTCTTACCGGGACCTGAAAGAAGTGACTCCTGAAGCACTGCAGATGGTTAAGAGAAACTTTGAATGGGTTGCAGAAAGAGTGGAGGTATCTGTTTTTATGAACAACATTATCTAGACTTCCATAACTGCATGTCTTCAATCCTGTTGACTGCTTTTTTTCCCCCTTGCCTCCATTCACTCTTTTCTCTAGTTGCTTCTCAAAACAAAGAGCCAAGGTCGAGTTGTGGTGGTGATGGGATCCCCTTCTGACCTCAGTCACTGTGAAAAAATAAAAAAGGCATGTGCAACCTTTGGAATTCCTTGTGAGTTAAGAGTGACCTCTGCTCACAAAGGGCCAGATGAAACTCTGAGAATCAAAGCAGAATATGAAGGTAAATGCCAGAGAACTACCGATTTGGCTTGAAACAGCATCATGCTAGAGAATGACTTGGCAACTTAAGGATTTGTGTGAGGTTTTTCCGTTTCTTGTTAAACAGAACACCAAGCTGTTACATAGTATTAGTTATTGACTACACTAAGCAATTATGGAGCAATGCATTGTCCTAGTGTCCAGCCACAACTTCCCCTACTCAAAGCCCAACCTCTGCTTTTATCCTAGTACCAGAACTACTTTGCCCAAACCTTGATCATGTTAATACACTTACTGTAGTATCTTGCTGGTGATGCTGGCCCTTCTGAGATGAAGAGGAGTGATTGTTTCTCTAGCTGAATATTCTTATTCAGAACGCAGATGTTGCTCCCATCGTGTTTTCCTGCCTGTTTCTTGGAAGTATTTTTTATTTTTATTTTAGATGCCATGAGAAAAAAATGCTTGACTTAAATTTTTCTCTTTACCAAAAAAACTTGACATCTCTTCAAACATGTTTATAGCCCAGCAGAAGAGAGATAAGAACTATTTATTTTTGTGGGAGTATACTTTCTACTCAGTGAAGCTATAGATGTGGTAACCATAGTTGAGAAACACTTACTTTGAGGTGAACTGTGCAATATTTAAGGAGAACGCTTACAGATATCAGAGGTTTAATGGCTGTGTTGTCTACAAAGCTAAGCAGCACTTATTCCTCTGATGCTGAGACTTCCCCCTCAGAGGCAGACATGCTAACTTCAGTCGTGGTAAACAGTAGCTGGGATTTAAGGCTGCAAGATCTAGACAATATTTCTGTAAAGGTGGAAGTTGGACACAGAATTCCAGTGCTATGCAATGGAATTAACAAAATAACTGCAAACAGAATTGTGGACTCAAATAAACTTCTCACAAGAGCAAGGTGGATTGCTTATTTCTGAATGTCTTCCTCCTCCCCAGGAGATGGAATCCCAACAGTGTTTGTTGCAGTAGCTGGCAGAAGCAATGGTTTGGGGCCAGTGATGTCTGGTAACACTGCTTACCCGGTTGTCAACTGTCCTCCACTCTCAGCTGACTGGGGTACTCAGGATGTCTGGTCTTCTCTCAGACTGCCCAGCGGTAAGAGGATCTTCAACTTATGCTCTTGTTTTGACCTAGCTCCATTTTTGTTGTTCTAGTGTACATAATTTATACGAACTTATGGCAAAACACTGGAAGAGTAGCTGGATCAGTTCTGAACAAAGTCTTTAGAAATACCTTGTGTACAGTCTTTGACTTGATGGCAAAAAGCCCAATAGACAGAGAAAAGATTACATAAGAATAATCTTTAGAAAAATTTAAACCTTGGCTTATCCTTCCCAAACATTCCGGTTTGAAATTGGAATTGGTATTAATGGGGATTTAAATAACTGAATTTTGTTCAGTTATGGAGCTGCATTTTCCTTATGATCAGAGATCAAAAAATACCTTTCTCTACAATCAGCATAGGTAAGAGCTTAACCCTGTTATTTCAGTGCATTGCTACCTGTATGATTTTAAACTCTGTTGGTGACTTGGGTGGATGCTTGGCAACTAGGAGGCCCGTAAGTCTGTTACCTCTGTATGAGGAGAGTTATTTGGTATCCTGGCTTTTGGTTTAAAATGCCATGAAGCAGCCATGTTAGAAGTAGTGGAACACATTGACACTTCAGTAGCTTTAAAACTAGATCTTGTGGTTCCTGGAGGCTGAATCAAACATAGTCTTAAATTGTTTTTCAGAGGCAGTGTTTTATTTGACTATAGAAAAACCCTTTGGTAAGTGGTACTCTCTTCTCTGCAGGTCTTGGCTGTCCTACTACTCTCTCACCTGAAGGAGCTGCCCAGTTTGCTGCCCAGATATTTGGGTTAAACAACCATTTGGTGTGGGCCAAACTGCGATCAAACATGTTAAACACCTGGATCTCCTTGAAGCAGGCTGACAAAAAACTTCGAGAGTGCACCTTGTAAGTCATACTAACAAGTAACTTTTATTAGTTACGCAAAGATAATGGCGTGCATATTCATTCATATTAGGATTTACATTTGGATGAGCTCAAAAGTCCTGCATCCCTTCGTACAGAAGAAAGCATTGTTAGAGCAGCAGATGAAGTCTGTTGTATCCTCATCTTTCTCTTGTGTATTTTTTTTTAATATAACAACTTGGTAAGAGGTGGGGAAGTAGTATTTTAGATGTCTCTTTCTGTTGCTCCAAAATGGTGCTGTTCTGCTTTTTAACTGTTAACGAGAGACTATGTCAAGAGAATGATTTGGTGTGATCTAAATAGGATTCAAGTGGTCTTCTGTATTTCTGTAACAGTAATATTCTTCCATAGTCATAATGTATGTCTTGAACCTTATTAACTCAACTGGCTAAGTAAAGCCAGTGCTGATGCTGTTCTGCTTGCAATGATGGTATGCTTTCTTTAGCAATAAAATGGCAACATATGCTGTATTAATAGGAAGAGGGGCTGGAAAAATGTTTCAAGAGCCTGAAAGAAATACCTGCCTTATTTTAAAAATTTATATACATACATGTATTTTTTGTAAATATGTGTATGTATACATACCCCATTGATATCTTCTGGAATAATGTGATAAAGTTGACACCAATTATCTTGTTCATAAGCTATAAATAGGAGTGGTTTGAGTGAACTGTAATTAGGCTTGTTGCCTGTTTGCTGTAACTCTTGCCTAGTCCAGTCTTTGCCTTCTTAACTACTAGGCAGTTCTCTACCTTCAGTGGTTCTAAAGGGCCTATGTGATATTGTCAAACTGTTTTCAGACACTTCAATAACTTAAGCTATTACAGATCTATTTTTCCTCACTTTGTTTCTATGGAAATTTTACTGAACCGAATGGGGGAATAAATAGTAAAGCATCAGACTACTGGGGGGAAATTTAAGCATGACTGTCTTCTCTTTGCACACACTAATCTTCTGAGTGGTATGATTCTAAAAAATATGCAATGACTCAATGTATGTAACATTTATGGTTTTAAAATTATAAATAAACTATTGAATTCAAAGCTTCTTTATGGAGATTTATTGAATAAATATACTCAAACTAGTTATTAGCAGTCATACATAACTTCAGCATCTTAAATTAGGTAACACTCTTGTAAAATGTTTATGCACTGAAACCTGCATAGAGTGGTATTAGGTCTTCTGGAAGATACTGTACTACTTGCTTAAGTGTCTCACTGTTAACAGGGAGCTGTGTTGCTGAGACACTGCAACAGGTTCCCCAGGGAAGCTGTGGGTGCCTCTTGCCCCCAGAATTGTTCAGGGCCAGGTTGGATGGGGCCTTGAGCAACCTGGTCTAATGGGAGGTGTAGCTGCACATGGCAAGGGGGTTGGTACTATGTGATCTTTAAGGTCCTTTCCAACCCAAACCATTCTATGATTGTATGGTAGGTCAGGCTTACCCCATAGTATGAGTAACTGGATTAAATACTGCTGCTGGCCATCTCTTTCATGGGAAGAGACCACATCTTAGACATAGGTGTATAGAAGAGCTCGAAACAGTGCTTGCAGTAGTTCCGTCTTCTGGGGCTGAGTGCAGAGGTTTTTCATTTGGTCAAGGCTTACACTAAAGCAAAATAACTAGAACTCTCTTCTTAGTCTTGAGGGGGGTTGCTTTTCTAATTAATTTCTGAATAAAATAATAGTGAGGGCTAGTGATGACAAAGGTTGATTCCTTGGTGGCATACCATTTCTGTGAAAGCACTGATTTAAAAGTGAAGATCTTTAAGACTGTTGTGTTTGGTTTTTTTTTTCAGCAAGCAATTCACCAGGGTTGTGCTCACCTGCATACTTAAACTAGCACATTTGAAAGTGTGCTGTCAGCTAGCTTTCCTAGCAAGGTAGTGGCATTAACTTCAACTAGCAGAGAATGTAATGGGTTAAAAGAATCATAGAATGGTAGGGATTGGAAGGGAGCTCTGAAGATCATCTAGTCCAGGACCCCTCCTAGAGTAGGATCACCTAGAGAAGATCACATAGGGACATGTCCAGGTAGGGTTTAAATATTATCCAGAGGAGACTCCACAACCTTTCTGGGCAGTCTGGTACAGTGCTCTTGTTAACCTCACAGAAAATAAGTTTTTACTTATGTTTAGATTGAACCTCCTGTGTACGAGTTTGTAACCATTGTCCCTTGTCCTGTCAGTGGGCAAAACTGAGAAAAGTCTGGTCTCATCCTCCTGCCACTCCTCTTAGATATCTAGGAACATTTATGAGATCCCTCCTCAGTCTCCTCCAGGCTAAACAGACCCAGTTCTCTCAGCCTTTGAGAGAGATGATCACATGCTCTTGATTTTCTTGGGTGAGTGAATTGGATCATCTTCTCTTGTAATCAGACAGGAACCAAAGCCAATACTTGTAGAGTGCAGCACTTTCTTCTGGTGGCAGCTGTCTGCTGGCTCAGCTGTATAACCATACCCTGAGGGTGAAGTTACGCAAGAGGTGATGGTGTCATTTCCCATTCTTTCTCTCCCTCTGCAACACTACACTGGGTGTTAGTGCTGATGGGTAATCAACCTGACAAGCTTATTAGTCATCAGACTGCCATGCTGAGGCAGACAACCACAGCCAGCCAGTTGTCTCTTTTTCTACCCGCATCACTGTTGTATTGCTGTCTGTGTACACTCTTCCTGCACACAATAAAAATTAGTAACAGACAATGTTTTTTGAGTATTACGCCTGGAGTATTCTGTACTGTCTCTAGTTACATTTCCCAGATTACTTGCACCCTGATTATACTAGTTTCATTTGTAAAATTGTGCCAGTTTACATTGGACATGAGCATGCTAAGTGCTCGAGTTGCCATAGAGATGGTCATTCTTCAGCTTTTGGATGAGGTGGGTTGTTTGGGGTGTTTTTGTACAGTCTGTACTTTCAGAAGCAAGCACTTGCTTGAGCAGTTGCCTTGCAAAGAAGCACTAACACCCAGCAGCCAACATAAACCGTGTTGCTGTGATCAGCAGACAAAACGTGTGAAGTCTGTAATGTCTGCAAGACCTTTCTGTAGTTGTCCTCAAGGCAGAAGTGCTGCACATCAGCTGCTCAGTTGTTAGAAGTTCTTCACAGAGCTTTTGCTACGAAATGAAAATACTTCCCCTTGGTTCAGTATTCCAGCTAGTACATTGATGTAGCAACTTCAGCATTTCTTCAGCCAGAAATTTTTCTTGTAGCACTTGCATTTCTGGTCAAATTTTAAATCAATGCCAACAAATTCTTAAACAAAAAGTGCTTTTATTTTCACAAAACTATTACATAGAGAGGTTACTGAGATTTATTTGCAATTTTAAATTGAGTTGGAATACTCAAAATCTTCATTTTCAAGCACCTGCTGTGGAACCTAGGACCCTGGATTAGATCATGTTCTAATTAGCAGTGTCACCTGCTTTAACAGTCGATGTTCTTTAAAGATACCAACAAGGACCTGTGTAGACTTAGCAGATGGGAGAGCTGAGAGCAGGATGTGTTTTACGTACTACACTGCTTCAGGTACACGTGAGTGGCACCATGTTCAGCCTTTATAACATTTCATTTAAAAAAAAAACACAACACCAACCCACACCTCCAAACAAAAAAAAATTTGTAAAACGAGGGGAAAACCAATCATGGCTCCCGCTGATGTGCCTTCCATCTGCAGTTCAAAGGTTAAAGCACCTATCCCAGACACTGAAGGTACCATTTTAATATCCTCTGCCTGTAGAAAGCTGTAAAAAATGAACTGAAGCCCTAGGAGAGGATCTAGATTTTGGGGGGATGGCATTAAGGTACTCCCTGTTATTAAAGCCTTTCTTTTTGAAAGCTGTTAAAGTAATTCATACCCAAAGAAAAATCATGCCTGTTCCCTCACTAGACTGGGCATTTGAACCTTCTTTAGTAATGCAACTTAATTGTGAAACAGTGTCACAAGGAAATCTTGAGGCATGTTTTAAAATAAAATTGGAGGTGCCTGTTGCACTGTATTTGGATCACGTTGTAGCAGGCATGTCACACACATTTTCAGGGCGCACTTCCCTGTTCAAAACTTCCAAAAGCTTACACATGAGAATGTTTAATTTCTGGGCTTAGACAAAAATATGGTGTATAGGTTGTTTGAACAATCAAGACTTGCTTCAAGGTATGTAGAAGAGGAAAACTTTAAAGTTTCATAGAGGATTGATTAAAAAAAAATAACCACAAACTCTGAATTTCCTGCAGAGCTTAAGTACCTCTAGAATGGGGTTGCAGTTCCAGTTCCCAAATTCCTATTCCATTTCAGATCTAAGTGTGTGCATTCAAAACTCATATCCTCAGCATTGTTGTGCAATGGCTACTTGATCAAGGGGGACCTAAAGCCACTCAGTTCATTTTTGGTAGGTAAGTTCCCCTACCACTTAAGCACCTGCTGTTGTGCTTTTGCAGAAGCATCTTTAGCTCGTGACAGGGCAGAAAAGCCTCTTACTCATGGAAGCCCTGTCAGGATACACTGACTTTTGTGTATCTCAGGTAGTCAGTGTAGCCAGGATCTTAAAGCATACCTGTTCATATGTCAAAACATGACACACACCATACAGGTTAGCAGAGTCACTCAGGTTACAAGCAATTTAATCCCCTCTCTGCTGGGAGAAAGGGATAAAAACTTTCCCCTTACTTCTTAGAAGAGTGCTTTAACCACCACGGGCACATGGAGATCTGCAGGAAGGAAAGACCTTAATTATCCCTTTCTTCCCCCTCCCTGTTTCAATTTGTTTCCTTTAATAACTGTATAAGGGATTGGACCACAGCAATGCTGCAGCTGCCTCTAGAGCTTTTGGTTTCTGCCTCAGCAGCCTTGTAGCAGGATGTCTCTAAGCATCCTGCTACCTTTCTTCACTATGGAAATAACAACAATGTACCAGTTCAACTAGACTGGGAGCTTTCTGAAGGACTTCCAGAAGAGTATGCCCTGAGTGTAAAGAACATCTTAGATTTGGAGAAGACAGAAGATTTGTTGTTCCCTGTAGAAGATAAAATTAAAAACTTCTTGAAGAAGGAATTAAGATGTATTTGCATGGAACTTGGTATAAGCATTAACTACAACAGCTTTTCTCTCTCCCCTCCTCCCCTTCAGATGACAGATGCCATCACCAGCAGGAAGATATCTTGATAGAAAAGCAGAACAGCAAACAGATTACCAAAAGCTCAGCAGATGCTTGAGAATATCAAGCATCAAGTTCAAGTCTCTTCAGGGACAGAGCTTTTCACAGCACAGAACAGGTTGTCTTTCATGGGAAGGTGAGGCCGCTATGGTACCAGGATTTCATCCAGCCAGGGCAGTAGGCTGAAACCTCTGATAAACCAGCACAGGGAAGGGGATGGGCTGTGGCAGCCAAAAGACGTAACCCCCAGTCAGGACTAAGTAAGAGGAAATTAATTAAAAAAAAAAAGAGGGGGGGCAGGGGGGAAAATGGAACAAAAGGAAAAAAGAAAGCAATAAACCAACCACCACTACGTTATGGCAGCATCAAGAAGCAGCTAGCCCACTTTGCCACACACCTTGTATAGCTCTTCATGCTGATAAAAATATTCCTAGCCGACAGCTTGCAAAGTTCTTGAATGCAAGGAAACAACACTCACACCAACACATGATATAATTAAGTGGTTTAAGATGCCAAGCTGTAGAGAATTTCTGTTTGGACTGTAGAGTGATTGCATTTGTCTTAATAGAACACAGCTCCCTATCCCCAGTTTCCCATTACATCATAACCCTTTTGTAAGACACTTAAGCATTGAGTAAATGGGCAGCTTACTAGCTAGTACATGTTAACATTTGATCAACTTCAAAGGTTATTTCCACTATAGGACATTCTTCTCTCTTGCCAAACCAAACAAAACCCCTCGACTAGAAGTATAAAGACTTCTTTACTAACTTTTTTCTCTCTAACATTCATATCTTCTTGCCACATCCTCATAGGCACTTCTGACTGCACTTAAGCTACATCACTTGTAGTATCACTAGTGCAATTATGGTTTTAAATCTGCAGTGAATTCCTGCTATTGGGCTTTGTTTGCAAAAGAAGTTGCAGTCACAAGCATCCAGGAAAGTGTAACTTCAGCACTATCAAAGCTCAAATCTCACTGAATTCTTTATTTTCCTTTTGGTAAAGGTATTCTAAAAATAACTTGCATCCTAGCATTAAACAGTTTGCAGCTTTATTTTTTTTAGTTGTAGAAAAGCACAAGAGGATGATGGACAGGCTTCAGTGTGACACCAAGTGACATAGATACAATAATCCTTAAATATCTGATGTCTACTCACTAACTGGACCAACCTTCTCGTCATTAGAAATCCAGTAGTAGATAGCCAGGTTTCTATACTCAAAGAGCAGCACCTCAGAGTTGGTCAGGGCCAGGCAGTTGTGGTTTTTCTGCTGCTCCTGAAGACCAGCTCACAGCCAAAGTTTCAGCCATTTTTTCTGGGAATTGTCCCTGCCCCAGCTGATAATGTTAAGTGAGCCATTCTTGGTCAGTAAAATTTCAGTATCTGGCAGGTATTTACCCCACCCCCCACACACGAGGACAGAGCTCAAAGGAAGAGGTTAGATGATTTATATAAAACCAAAAGGATGGGAATATTGTCCTTGCAAGCCTTGTAAAGCCTCCAGCAATGTTGGAATCTGACCTAGTCTTTCACAGGGTTTGGAGCAAACATTTCTCCCTACTTGTGTTCTAGCATCACAAATTTCACAGCCACCCCCACCAATGTATCTTACAGCCATCTTTGTATATTGCCTTCAGAGAAACTTAGGACCAGTAAAAGGCCCACAGAGAAACAATTTGCTAGGAAGAATGTGATGGATGACATTTGTGTATTTGACAGTTTTCAAAAGAAAAATCACGTTAGATGGAAAAACACAAGTTGTCATTTCACACCAAGAAAACTGAAGTTTCTGAACCTAAAGTTCATTGGTTCTCATGCAGGGCACCAAGTTGTTACAAGAAACAGTTTGGTAAGAGTAAAGAGACTACAGGTGAATATTAATCACGAATTAAGAACTTCAGTGAGATCTTTGGCCATAATTTAGCAAAACTGGAAAAAGGTCCTAGCCAGAAAGATTTGAAAAATACACATAACTTCTAGGCAGATACTTCTCAGCAGTGACTCCAATCTCTCATACTGAAGTTTATGACCTTTCATGTATGAACATACACGCACATCCAAATTATTGTACAGCTATTTATGGATCACCAATCTTTTGAGACACATCTAGTCTTGTTGTCATACTTATGTAAAGAACATGTCTACATCAACCTGTCAGTCATACCATTAAACAGCAAAGGTGCAATCCCATAAATAACGTGTCCCAACACTAACTTGAGGTAGTTTTTGTTGGCTGGTCCAGAAGTGCTGCCCAGCAAAGATGTCCTTCTGACAGAGAACACAAAAGGCTGACAGTTTCCCTAACTGCTGCTCATCAACAGGTACAACTAATTAACTGCGTACAAAGTATAGCATGCCATCTCTCTTCAAGGTATTTTACTGAAAGGTCTACACCAACATTCAGGCGAGCTTGTTGTTCTGCCCCACTCTAACCGCCCCATTCTAACGAAGTGACAGTGTCTGGTCCACAAAACGACCACTTGAAAAAAATTCCAACCCAACAATAGTCTTAAGAAAATCTTTCTTCCCCATTCTTAATTTCATATCATTCCCAGAAGCACCTACAATAACCATGTGTGTGGAAGTGTTACTGAAGAGGAGTACTTATGATCAGTCTTAATGCAGCATGAGTTAGTAACAGTAACTTTGCTTTTTTTGTTGCTGCTGTTTCTTTTTACTAACATTTTCTCTTAGATGGGTTACAATTCCAGAAGCAGAACTTACACATGCACAGGACAGTGCAAGCTAACTGACACTTTCTTATCTGAATTCTTCTTTTATTAAAAACTCATGGTAACATATAAGAGCACCTAGAAGCCACATCTTCCAGGAGACCAGACTCAATTTCAAAATTAAAGCTCTTGGCAAGAAAAAAAAAATCCAGAAGATTATTTGGGTAATTCAAGCCTGCCTACAGGGACTTTTAGCTGTCAGGAAAAAAAAAATAATCCAGTCACCTGCATTCTTAAGATCATGGCAATACAAAGATTAAGTTTTTAAGGCTGTAACATCCTGGAGTGGAGAAATAGAGGTTCCCCTTCTTTTATTATGCAAGTACAGCTTTCCAAATGTTAATCCAGACCCTTAATCACACAATAAAGGGGAAATTTACCCTAGTCAGGAGACGACATCAAAAATTATCCAGCAGATTTTGGGTTGCCTGTAATATCTGAAGCCTTAAACTCCAGAAGAGAACAAGGTCGGAGCATCCGACTAGCAAGCCTGTAAAATACCGAAGTGTTCCACATGAACAGTTTCCCACAACTTTTAAGTTTTATGAAATGCAAACTTCATACCTGAAACCACCTCAATTTAAACAAAGTAGGTACAAAAGCAGGACACCGGCAAAAATACTTGTCTGGCCAATAATCAGTCTGAGACAGGCACTATTATCAGAAACAGATTATGTACGTACTAATTACATCATGAAGCGCCCACAACCTTGATGTAGGTTAAACAGCTGCTCCTGGATTTACTCAACATCCCAGAATAGAAGCATGTGGAGAGTGAAAGTGATTTTTAGTTTCTGATAAAGTTAAAAATATTACAAACTTTTAGCTTTTATTGAAAATTAAATATATTAGCAAAAGCAAGATTTAAGAAATATTTTACAAATGATTTACATACAAGAAAGCCAGTATCGGACATGTTCACAAATATGCAAACCTTTACAAAAAGTACCTACTGGCAGCATGATGCTAACCTTGCCACTGCAGTGTGCTCTACTATTGATATAAGGCATAGACCTCACATTTGCACCAACTTAAAAAGTTCAAATAAACTTTAAGCTTTTAAATCCTGGATGCACAATCCCCAGTACACACACATACGCACACTCTTAAGATTTCTTCTTCTAAGCTCTACAGACTAAGTGTGTGCTCTGGAAGAACAGCCAGCCTGAAAAAAAACCAGTAGAAATCTAACTGGTACTAGCATTTAGTTTTCAGTTTCCTCTTTAACATGTACAGGCTTAGGTATGTAAACCATATTCACAGTTTAAGTATTTTTAGACAGAAGTACCTTTTTTTTTGCATTTGTTCCTTAAAATTGGCTCTCAGTTCAGCATACAGTTCATAATGTCACCTGTTTTGCGATGCATACATTTACAAGATAACTTAAAAATCTGTGCCATATTCATGGTCAAAATAATTCAACAAGAGTAGTAATATCCAACAGTGACATTCAATACTATATTTCAAATATTTGTGCAAACAGCAAAAGAACAGTTTTATGAGGCAAATTTATTTGCAAAACTTTTAAGACCTCCTCAATGTTGTAAACTTGGACTGTCAGCCTTAAGTCCTGCACTTCCCACAGCTTTAAAAAGTCAGTGGCTAAAATTATCAAGTCTCAAAAATGTTCTCTTCCACATAGTGCAAATTGGAACGTAGGTAACGTGAAAAACATATCTAGCTGGATTGACTCTGTGCAATCATCAGTGGTCTTCCCTCATAGTTGAAGAAAGTGTGCACTCAAAGAACCACATGGTTCAGGAAGTCAGGAGTGTGGGGAGGAGAGAGAAAAAACAGTTCCATTACACTTCTCAAACCAGTGCTAGATGTGCAAAGGCAGCAAAAATTCCAGCTGCTACTACAACCAGAACAGAGCAACTCTTCAGGAAGACCCAGGCGGTTAGTCACTTGGACTGGTCTCTAGAAAAATATGTAAGTATATGTTGGATTTTTATCAGACGGTCCTTTAAAGACATCATGGAGAGAACCGAGAGCTGGTATCTGGGGTCTACTGGGAGAACAGCTAGAAGCCACCAACACCAAGCAGGACCATTGGGCATTGCCTAAAAATAAAAGAAGTTGGTTACAATGTAGTACAGTTGACTAAAACAAAGACATCAAAAGACAAAGTTGTCAATGACAAATACTAGTTTCAAATTTGATTATTTACTAGAGAATTTCAGATCCAAGAGATCAGAAAAGTTCTGAATGGATCTCTTCTAAGCTCTGCCCAACTGACAAGTCAAATGAAGCACACCTAACCTAGGTCTGAAAAAGCAATTATTTTTTAGACAACAAAGGAAGCTCATAGCTTCCTTGAGAAAACATAGCTAAGTATAGGACAGTCACCTACCAACAAGCCCTCCTGATAAAAACTGAATCTATTACCTGTCATTCTATTCTTGAGGCCTGAATATTCTTGAGAGCCTAATGTTTTCATTACAATTGTCTTTGTTATATTTGAAGGACTCCTCTGTCACCTTCCAATCCCACTTTTCATTACCTTCTAGACAGAACAGGACTATTTAATCAGTTTCTTCTGAGTAGATAAAACATACTATGTAACTTTTTCCCGTACACCAGGCCTTAGCTGTCATGCCCAGAACTGGTCAGAGAAGATTAATTACACCAATTACACACTTGCAAAAATATTACTGGTAGTGGTACATGCCAGGATGACATCTCCTCCCTTTCATCTGCACCACACATTGGACACATTTGTGTTCTATTATAAATCTCAGGTACATACAGTATTGCTGCCCTGCTAGTTATCCTGGTTTTGCACACTTAATCCGCTTCCCTAGGATGCTGCTTTAAATCTGATTGGGCTTTTTATTTATTTTTCAATTAAATGGTTCTAAAATCACTTCTGAATTCATGCACTGGTCTACACAGCATCTACAGTCCCCTCAGATCAGTTAATATAGTCTCATAAAAGTATGTAGCAGATGGGTGAAGGACAGGCTCTCATAAGATCCTACTTCGTATATAATTCCACTTTGAAAGCCAAACTTTACATATTTTCATGGTTTTTTTACATGTCTTTTCTCCAGCCACCCACTCTCTTAGGATCTCACATACCTTCATTAATTGTTTATAACAACCATTAAAATAGATTGCTGTAGCTAGTTTCTTAAGCGACATTTGTCAAATCCTAACAGCTGTGGCTGTTTATGGCACTAGCAGGAAAATGTTGTGATTACCTCCTTGCCAAAGGTTACTGCCTGCATGCGTCACAGGGAGGAATTTACAGGGGTTTTTCTCAATTTGAATTCTAACAGCTTTACACAAACCAACAGCTTAAAATGCTATTGGAACCTAAAAACCTTCTCAGTTTTATCTCCACAGCAGCATCATCAGCCTTCCCAGCAAAAACTGTGAGACAGAGACAGAATTGCCTCTTGTTGCTCATCATAAGAGAAACACAATGCAAGCCTCATTGCCTTCAAAGTTTGGAAAAGAGTATTTTTTTTTTCTTTAAGTGTTTAGCAGTTTTTATCAGGGTCTTTATTTTTAGAAATAAGCACCTAATAATTGATATTAAATGATGTCTCACCTGTATATTTTCCTCCCTGTCAGGCATTGGCCCGAAGTGCTGAAGAATCTGAGTGCGAAATTTGTTTCTTAAGTTTTGGAACCAACTGCAGGCCTGATTGTAAACAAAATTGTGAAGTTCTCTCAGTTTCTTTAGTTCTTCTTCATCAGCAACCTACAGGAAGAATGTTATGAAAAATATCCTTAGAGATAAAGAAAGAATTATTAAGGTGTTTAAGCTATAATCAAAAAACATATCATTTCAACTACATTTACATATATTTATTGCATTCTCCTAAACCTTGACTGCTAATGACTAAAAAGTAAAGAAGTCCTACAGTATTTTAAAAAGTTGCACCTTCAAACTATTGTTCAGACAAAAAGCATAGTATTTATTGTGTTATAATAATAAAAAGATTAAGCTAGCACCCATTTCTACCATGTACTGGCACTGAATCTTCTGGTGGTCTGGATCTTGAAATATTAATATTATTCAGTACTTAGACAACATTCTGGATACCTTAACATCTTCCAAATATTCAATGTCTGCAGTACAATAACCATCTTTCATTCCTCTCCGTAAAACTCTAAATCTCTTTCCACCAACTGTATCAACAACCGATCGTCCATCAGGTAGAAAATGAACGTTTCTGATTTGCAGCATGCATCCATAATCTGCAAAACTAGAAAAGAGACCTTGTCAGTAATGCAATTACACACTTCTGAAATTACACTTTTCATAATTAAAAAAAAAGGCAGAATAGATGAGAAGCTTAGAACTAGGAGGTAAACCTACCCATTTTGAGAATCACTTATACACATCCCAAACTGTTTAGTCCCAGTTTCCATACTTCTGCGAATCATTAGTCGGTATCTTGGCTCAAACACGTGTAGAGGGCAAGGCACAGTAGGATATGCCATAGTGCAAACAAACATTGGAACATTCTTGGTCAAGCTTTAAGAGAACATCAAAAGAAATACATGGCTTTAAAAATCTAAACACTGAACTATAGCAAGATAATACTTTTTTTTTCAGTATATTTGATATATTTGTGGTCATAAAGCACTCATTTCAAAGTTCAATAATAAGCACATTGTAATAACTTTCATAAGCAATAAAAACGCATACTGGTAACAGTGACTGAATACCTATGCACTGACTTGAATACATAAAAAGACAGTAAGTCTCACTTATCTAGTTAGTGAGTGTCTAGTTAGTAACAAAGAGCTTTGTTTTGGGGATGGGAGTGTTAGTTATTTTTTTCCTTTTTGTTTTAGTTTGAGCCATAGAGGCCATTATCCCCTCAGACTCAAAGTTTTTCTGGAACTAAAATGACGTAGCAGTAACTACACAGTAGCTAGGTCACGATTTAGCTTATTTTCAATGATGGACTCCAGATCACAAGATGCAACCTAGAGTATAATTTTTACTTTGTAATATGCCTCATCAGGCCTAGTTGAAAAACAAAATAGTTTTTCCATGCTATTTTATTAAGTATGTACAGTTGATAGTTGATACAAACAAGTTAGCATTAAAACATTACCAGGTATTTAATTTTAATACCTTTCAGACTATAAAACATAAGTATGGATTCTGTTACATAAGTTGCATGAGCTATAGTTTTAAATAGTATCCCAACATTCATATCTACAATATATGATGCTTTATATATCTGAAGAACTCTACCGGATATAAACATGATGATTACAAAAAAACCCAACAATTGATTTTCATCACATCTGTCTTTATACAGTTAATGTCTGTCCTGAGCTGCTTTGAAAGAAACTCAAGTCCCGGAGGCTCTACAGCCAACTCAAGAGCGCCAATTCCATTAACAGCAGCAAAGCTACAACTGAAGCTCCACAACAGTGCACACTGAAAGAGGAACGGAAGGCAAATGCATTTTGTAGAGGACTTAAGAGCCTCACATTGCTACTATCAAAATGTGGGTTTTTTTAATTTCCACAGTAGTTAAAAAGCCGTTAATTTTCTGAAACACACATTTAAGATGCCAAATCAGCATACTTTTATACTCCTCCTTCCATCTATAGTATACTGTTAATAATCACAAAAGTGATAAAACATTTCTAAAAAGAACTTCCGTACTAATCTCTCAAGTTTTCTAGATAAAATACAGCAAACTTACTTTGAGTGTTCGGCAGTTTCTTCAGCATGAATTCTTTTTCTCTCATGTAATTCATCAGACAAATATTTCATTATTAATTCCTCCAGCAGTTCTGTGATGCTGTATTTTCTGCTTGCAAGGTACTGTAAGCAAGTTTTAAAAACATATTAGTATCTTTTCACACATATTAACAAAAGGCGTGAGAAAATGCAGCTTTTAAAGCCATGATATATGAATGTGTCATAAATTACAATTGAAGAAATGAAAACTTACAGCTCTGAAGTTCTTACGTTTCATTACTTAACAACTAAAGTTACTCTAATATCTGAAAATGAGATGCTCTATTTTAGTTCCTAGCGTCTGACAAGTCTAGCAACTAATTTAGTTTGTATTTCTATCCTTGCCAGAGACAGAAATTATTTCCCAGGTTACACAGCCATACAAATGGGTAAAGTGTACAGAAATCATAGAGAGGTTTACCAAAGTTTACAAATGCTCGGGATTTAATTACACCAATAAAGTAAATGGTCACAGAAACACAAAACTTCTTAAGAACCTGAGGCAAGCCTAATCAACCAACCTGTATTGACAAACCATGTCTCAAGTCCTTCCTGTCTAGCAGCAACCCATAACCCAAGTTGAATCCTAGTTGTTGGGTTTAAGTGAAACAGCCTTTAAAATGATACAATATTTGTATTTGTGAGCTCTTCTGAGAAATAGTACCTCTTTCAAACTCTCCTTGCAGAGTGGACACTGAGGAGCATGGTCTAAACACCGTTCCAAGCAACCTTTGCAAAAAGTATGTCCACAAGGGGTTGTCACTGGCTCAAAGAATAGCCTGAAACAAAGTTATTACAGGTTAGACACCACAGCAAGTGTGTTTTGCCAAAAACTCAGTGATCCACTTCTTCAATTTTTAAGACTAGTTACTCTGTAACAAAGCAGAGATAATTAATCCTGTATCTCCTTATTCTCCTCTTTCCCCTACCCTGCAGTTTGCTTCCAACTTCCACCATGCCATTAATTTTTTTCCCCCGTGTGTTTTCTGATGAAACACTAAATGTCTAAACATTTATCCCAATGAACAAAGATTTTGGTCTCACTACATAGAGATTCAGAATACACAAAATTAGGTGATTCTCTGAGGAGCCAAGTTGTTTTAATAGCAGCATTACATACTAATAACATAACTATGGACAATTTAATATACACCATATGTTTTAAGTTATTTATTCTGAAAATCAAAATGCCAAATTTAATGTAAAAGGCAACTCGATTAAAATAATGCTGTATTATATAGCACTATAGCAAGTGACACATTTAAATATGCATTTAATTCCAAGGATAGAGGAAGGCTGAAAATTATTGACTAACATCAGAACTGATCACAACCTGTAACTACCTCAGTTTATACATGCAACAAATACAGGGCCAAGCATCTATAACAGATACTGGATTCAAGGAGAAAAATCGTACCTCATACATAGAGAGCACTCAAAATCTGATATATCAATCAAATCCCCTGGAATTGTTCCAAAAGCCAGAGTCATGTCCCTTTTTGTACTTTCTAAGGAAAGGCAAGACAAAATACTCCTTCAAAGAAAGGCACAACACAGTAAATACTTTAAATTTCAAAGTAAGTGACTGTTTACCTCCTTGCTTTTTGTGTTTGTTTCTTCCATCTTCACATACAACTGTATCCTGTTCTGAAAAGGAAAGCTTTCTTTTCAACAGAGCACCTTTTTCCTGGCCAGAGAGAAGTGGCTCAGAAGACACCCTCTTTAAGCCATCTTCCTTGGCGAGGTCCTTCGCTGAGTTAAGAGCATGGGCAGACTGTGCACGATTCAAGCTTCCACTGACCGGCTCCAGTACCTCTGATCCTCCTAAACTCTAAAACAGTAAAATAACTGAACTTTACTTGAACTGTAACACAAATCTAAGTATATACAATGTTAACATGCAAAGATACATAAGCCAATCTGATACCTACAGTTCGTTTATTAGTTTACTAGAGGAACTTGATAAGATAGTACTCAAATTTGCTCAGCATTAACAATTTAAAAATCTTCACCTGCTTCAAATAGAAGAAAAACTGTATTTCTCTTTATTTTGAAGTCACTAGTATCAAACTTCAGTACCTTCTAACAAGCAGTTCACTGGAATGAGGAGTCTAACACTCCAAATGAAAATACAGTATTCCCAAATCACAGTTCACTTCTGCAATTGGCTAAACTGGAAGTCAGCCAGCATTTAAGCTGGAAAGTATGACAAATAAAGATATCAGAACATCTGATGTTTGCATATCAGCCAAAGAGAAAAATGTTATCCTACCTGCTCAGGACCAAGCTGTACATTGCAGTAAGACTCAGTCACCTCAGAACCAAGTATAAAAGGTTTATTTCGAATATGTGGTGAATTCCAAGCAGATTCCTTCAGACTCTCTCCTAACTTCTCTGGTGACAGCACATCACACAATGTCTAGAAAACAAACAGCTACATGTTCATAATAATGAAAACTGATCTAGACATAGCTTTATTATAAAACTACATATCAAAAGTAAGAACTTAATATAGACGAAGTTATCCTCATAGATAGAGCTTTAAGCAGTAACTGAGAAAGAGCAGTTGAGAACAAGCAGAAACCTACATACCTATATTACTAAAAAGAAATTGTCTAGAAATCTACCACAAGTGAGCGAGCTCTTCAGAGTCAGATATTATCAATCCAATATCATGCAGCTCTTTCAGTGTAAATTTTTATTATCAAAGAATAACTGCTGTGCTTTGGGCACAAGAGAGTTCAACTTGGAATATTTAAACTGCTGTCTGCTTTCCAGTTTTCTAGAGTTTCATTTAGTACATTCAAAAGCAGATGTACTTTGAAATGTGTACTTAGAACTTGTACATTAGGACTACTTCTTCAACATAGTATGGTATATTTTGAAAGGAACCAATCTGTCACCTGAGCTTTCTCTGTATACACTGAAGATTTTTAGATGCTTGAAGTCTACCATAATGGGAGCTTTATAAAGGAATCAAGTCAGAGATAGCGATCCAGTCTCATAAATAAAATTACCCTTTCTACTTCTAGCTTGGCTGGAAGAAAGTCGTCATCAAGGGCTAAGCACTGTAGAAACAGTTGTAAGGCATCACCTACAAAGCCAGAGTCTTGCAGCACTTTTCCTTTCCAGAAGTAGACCTGAAAAACAGATACCACAAAGATATTTCTAGAGTGTGTAGAAGTGTAATATTCATCCTACAGGCATTATAACAGTTAGAATTAGAAACTTCTGCAACAAAAAGAATTTAGCTCTTCACCAAACTTCAGCTGTGCACAGTGTGGATTACCTATGCACCTTGTCTAACATCCCCTACAGTGTCTGAAGTGAGTCATGGGAAAGGCTGGTGTTCACCTCCTTCCATTTAATTTGTTTTGGCTTACACAAAGGGTTAAAAATCTGACTAGTGCTGAATTCACAAAAGGCTTTAGTGTTCCCTTTCTGTGAGCCTTTGGAGAGGAAGAAGAGGGACACACAATGCAAATTATTGCATAACCTCATACAGCATCTTACAGGATACCCTTTTTCTCCCTCTCTTTCATTGAAAGCCTTATGGTTCCAGCTTGCAGAGGAGTAACTATAAATAGAACAATCCACACAACCATACAGCCCCTATGTACATCTTACTCTATATTCTTAACACAAAATAATGCACTTTTGGAATTGCTTCCTCCAACTATATTTTAAACTTTAACACCAGACAGCAGCTTTTCTTTCCAAACAGGTTTCTTTCCAAACATACAGAAAAAGGTAGACAGCACTACAAACACCAAGAGGCTTAAAGTAGGATGCTCCCTGAATTTGCAGTAGCTGTGGAACTGCTGAATGCAATAGAGACGAAGGCAGCAGCAGTTCTCTCTCTCGCCTTGTGCAGCAAGGTCTTGCTGCTCCTGCTGTGCTCAGAGTACAGGCAGTGCTGCAATATGCAGTATTGTAGTTCTGAAGGCCGGTGGCTCCCAGCTGCCTGCACAATTTGCAAAGCTCAGTTCTCACCAAGTTTCTCTGCACTTTTCAAAGAAAAACTTTCCAAGCTAAAACAGCAATGTGTCCTCTTAATAAAAATTAACAAATAAACAAAACAAACCCAGATCCCCAGCTGTTACACATTACACTGCCATAAACTATCCCAACTCCAAGTATTTCAGTCAGTAGAAAAGGCTTCAAATGCAGGCTTAAGGTTTTTTAGCCAATACTATTGCAAAAGAATTTAATGCGTGTGTTAAATATTTTTTTACTATTTGCTAGCATTTGGAAAAGAAAACTGTGTTGTCCTATTTATATAGCAAACTGTTTTACCAATAAAACTGAAAAAATATGAGAGAAACGTTGACTTAACATAGAGCCAAGAATTCTAGTCCTGACTGGCAACAGTACTCGCTCATCTCATGTGATACTCTCAAGGAACAGATAATGCTTAAAATGCCCTGGCTTTGAGAAATACAATCAAAGCATAAGAACTTCAGGGGAGTGCAGAGTTTTAAAAGGACTATCTTGTACATAGCATAAGGGAGTTTAAAACTCAGTTACATTAACCTGTACCAAATGTACAGGCCTCAGAAATTTTGCTTTCAAGCAATTAAAGCTGGCTGCACAATTTCAGCCAACCATTCAGTCAAATAACATTAAGCTGAAGTTAAGTTTGTAAGTATTTAATAACTTTTCTAAGAGAACACATAAAAGTGTTCTTACAAAGAAATAAAAGTCAATAACAAGCAACTAAAGACAGCACAAAAGTACTTCATAATGCTTTCCAGTAAGTCAGTTCTGCTGCACTTAACCCTTCATCCTAAGACACCATCTCATGTTGCGATATGAAATAAAAACACCTGAAGTTTTTGATGAAGGCTAAATTAACATTTACAAGTAGATTTGTCAAACAACTCTAACTTGCCATATTGATCAGTAGCCTGTCTTATACAAGTAACTATTTTAAGATACCTTTTAGCAATTTGCATGCCTTACAAGATAACATTTAAGGTAGCTGACCTAGCTTCTTAGCTTGATGCAAATACAATTTAGAATTCATTAATTTCATAGATAAACAGACATATTAAAAAATGAAGAGTTCTTATTAACTTACCTCTGGCCAATTTGGCATTTTGGAGATAACAAAATTTAGATCTTCTATGGCTGTTTTGTATTCTTGGAGGCCAACATATGACTCAGCTCTGTAAATTCTTAGCATTAAGTCACTGGAATCTGAAAACAAAAATTAAGTAATATTTTTAATAATTCAGAAATTTGTCATTTTTCATTACAGATGCTTTCATAGTGATATGTCATAACCACAGTTTTTTTCATCGAATCACAGAATGTTAGGAGTTGGAAGGAACTTCAAAAGATCATCCAGTCCAACCCCCCTGCCAGAGCAGGATCACCTAGACTAGGTCACACAGGAACACATCCAGGCGTGTTTTGAATGTCTCCAGAGAAGAAGACTCCACAGCCTATCTGGGCAGCCTGCTCCAGTGCTCTGTAACCCTTACAGTAAAAAAGTTTTTCCTCATGTTCGCATGGAACCTCCTATGCTCCAGCTTGCTCCCATTGCCCCTTGTCCTGTCATTGGACATCAGAGAGAAGAGCCTGGCTCCTTCCTCCTGACACTCGCCCTTTACAAATTTATAAACATTACTGAGGTCACCCCTCAGTCTCCTCTTCTCCAAGCTAAAGAGACCCAGCTCCCTCAGCTGCTCCTCGTAAGGGAGATTTTGTACCATAGTTTTAAAATTACTGGAGTACATTTTCCCCAGCTCCAAGTGTTTGGGTAATAAAAGTGGCAGTAATTCCGGGCTCATCTCTCAAGCCAAAGATCAGATTTTGTACCCTCTAATGCACCTTGCAGCAACAAGAAAATATTTTAAAATAAGATCTAATATTGATCCTGACAAAGTATTGCCCAGTACTGCTGTGACAACAAAAACTGAGGCCTAAGTAGATTTTAGCTTTGACGTACATCCATTCAAACCCACAGAAACCTGAGAATTCAGCGCACTTGAATTAAAAAGTCTAAGTACTAGAAAGCTTACTTTCAAACATTCAAGTTTTTCTTTAAACTGTCATCTGGTTTTATAATGCCCAACTCCTTCCAACTATGGCTGAAGATACAGATGCCACTTCCACAATGGTACTCATCTGGTAAGCACCAGCAGTCGGCTTTATCACTATGTGGTCTGAAAAGACATAGCCAGGACCAGAAAGCCTTTAACACCCCTGTTGTAAGGAGCTGTACCAGTGGAACTTCTGCAATGGGAAAATATTAGCATGTGTTTGATGAACACAAGTTCTCCTGTCCAACATACAGCATTTTATGCTTTTACTAAAGCAACCTCTAAATGGGAAACACGCCCATCTCCATGCCACTAAAACTATACTTTTCATAACACAACAAACTGTAGCTGTTTCTTGGAAAATATGCCAGCACACCATTTTGTCCTTGTATTTTTTTAAAATACACCTCTCTTTTTCATTGAATGAGATTAGTCAAACATTGGTCTACTGTAAACAATACTAACATTGTTCTTTAAGTTTATTTCAACAAGATTTTCTTGGGAGGGGAACATTTCAATTCAATATTCTATCTTTGTCTATTCTAAATGTCTAGTTTAAGCTTTCATAATTTCCAACATGAGCCTGTTTTACATTTAAAAGCCAGACCAGTCAATGCTCCCATGTATTCCAACACATTGCTGTGTATTTAGATCCACAATGCTACATATGAAAAGACCGTGATGGAATAGAAAGGGTTAAGGAAATCAAAACTGACAAAAGACTTCACAGGTGAAACTAAAAAAGTGTCTTTCTGATTTGTCTTTCTTCGGAGTTGACATTCTCCCTTCAAATACAAATATTCCCAAACCTGGTTTGTTTGATTTTTATTTTATTTTAGACATAATAAAATGTATTAACAGAAGCCTGGGAAATTGTCTTTAACTTAAACACGTAATTCTGCAAGCAGAAGCACTCTGAAGCCTGCTTTCCTGGGGCTGTGTTTAGTGACTGGTATAGCCCAGTAAAGCAGGATCTCAGATCAAACTCTTTCAGACCATTTTTTCTGTTGTATTTGACTCTGGCATCCAGCAGAGTTACTATCAAACCAAATTCTTTTCTTCAGAGGTAACAGTAAGTGTGGGTCTTTGTTCTCTGATAAGATACCTATTTGCACATAATCAGAGGGAGCTCATCTTTTTTCAGACTTTCAAGTGTAGATGATGACCTGAGGAACTCTGAGCCTTCTTTCCTGGAGGGAGGGTGAGGGGTAGTTTGAAGACAAAAAAGTGAGTTCGAGTCTGCAGCATGTGGACATTTTGTCAATTTCTTTTTCAAAAGGCATAATTCCAATCAAACTGGTACAAAACAAAGGGCTAAACCAGGGAGTTTAACTGGGACTCCCAACTCTGCTGCTGAATGCACACAAACATAGGCAACAAATGATGAAATAAATGAACATTTAACAAATTGGTTTAAGTATTTGCAAGACCAAACGATCTAAATTTATGTGTCAAATTTTGCAACCATCAATTAATTTCTAGGCTTTGTAATTGTGAAAACACTGTTTTGCAATGTTTCAGCATGTATTTTAATGTTTGCCACCTAAAGGGAGGATGACCAAAGATTAAACAGAGCAGGAATACAATTTATGCTTTAATTTTCAGTTTCAGTAACTCAGTATATTGTAAATACAGAAATCACTAACTCCTAGCATACCCAAAGGCAAATTATTTAAATAAAAAAGACATCAAGTACCGTAGGTGCAGAACTGTGTGGATCAGTTATTACATTAATAGGAAAGTATACAAAGGTGTACACACAAAAACCCACTCGATACAAGTTCTTTTTTTATACTACTTTGAAAGCAGCTGCTCCTGGCTACTGTCAGCCTAAGCATAACAATAAGCAGACCATCTCATCTTGTCTTGGGCATAGCAATCATGAAATGATAGTTTTCAATCAAGGAAGCTGAATAGCAGAACTGCCACTTTGGACTTCTGGTGGGCAGACTTTGGCCTGTTCAGGGACTTGGTTGCCGAAGTTCCTTAAGAGGCAGTTCTGAAAGGCAAAGGACTCCAGGAAGGCTGGACACTCTTGATGAAGGAACTCTTAAAGGTGCAGGAACAGGCCATCCCCGTGTGTCGGAAAATGAGCCGGTGGGGAAGAAAACCGGCCTGGCTGAACAGAGAGCTCTGGCTGGAGCTCAGGAAAAAGAAGAGAGTTTATAATCTATGGAAGAAGGGGCAGGCATCTCAGGAGGAGTACAGGGCTACCGTGAAGCTGTGCAGGGAGAAAATTAGAAGGGCCAAAGCGCAGCTGGAACTCAATCTAGCTAGTGCTGTTAAAGACAATAAAAAAAAGGAGAACTAAGGAGAGTCTCCCCCCTCTAGTAGATGCGGGGGAAAGCGCAGTGACCGGGGATGAGGAAAAGGCTGAGG